CAGCCGAAAACGTAACAAAATCTAGACAAAGCCTAGAGCATTCCTAGGAAAATGCTGGAAAAGCCTTAGAAAATCCCATAAATCCAACAGAAAACGTGACAAAATCTACGAAAAAGCAAGGGCATTGGCCGGGACCACGGGATGGCAGAATCAATTGGGATGGCAGAACCTTGGACAATCCAGGTCGCCATCACGTCGCAATCACGTCGCTTTTTGGTAGGAATTTCGTCACTGCAACAAAGGTCCGGAGGGGTAGGGGAGGTAAGGTCTAAGTCTAAGGCTAAGGCTAAGTCTGAGGCTAAGGCTTAAGTCTAAGGCTAATCTAAGGCTAAGGCTAAGGCTTAAGGCTAAGGCTAACATCGACAGTCACGCCTCACCCCTCGGTGTGGGGTCGGCGGATTTACATACACATATGTCGTTGCATGTTTACAGGAGGGAATCAAACACAACACCCAGAATACTGAAGAAATAATGGCTGGTAAATGTTTATGATGGTTGTTTTTGATTTTCTGACATTGGTGTTGTTTTGTTATATCATCCATATCCATTTCAGGTTCGTTGGTGTTTCACCGGAGGATTTGGGTTTTAATGCTCCAACATTCCTGACATCAAGTACGCCTCCAAGCCACCCATGTCATCCCAATCATGAATTGTTTGTGAGACCACTGTACAACTTGCATGATCCCAAACAGAAGCAACCTTGCATAGGTGGGGCGGGTTCCGTAATCATAGCATACCATACCATCATACAGCAATATATGATACGCGCATATGTTTTTCTATCATAAAATATTTAGAGGACCGCCCTCTCGGAAGAGAACGTTTCGTTTTGGGGGGGAGGGGCCTTAAAAGCCGCCTGTTTGACCTCCAAGCCCGGCCTTTTGGAACCGAGGTCTCACCGGTGTGGCATGGCCGGAGCCTCGGAGCGTCCATGTTGACGGAATTCGTTTTAGAGAGTTGAAGAACTGGCTAATTAGACATGTTTGCACAGAATCCCGGAATTTGCTGGTGCATGTGCGTCCCGCGAAAAAGGCCGAGCGTCGGCGAATAGAGGCCGAGCGTCAGCGCGTTGGGATGGGAACTGGGGGGGGTTGACATGGGCATGGGGGGCGTCGACAGTGTGCGCCCAGTCATGAAATTGCTGGTGCGGCTTAGGGTGGGAAGAAGCTATAGGATCTATACACCTTAGGGATCCAACCTAGGACGTGCCATCAATCTGTGTTCGAGCCCACGACAGGAAACCAATGGAAGGTGCATTTCGCCATTGAATGCAGCTGTTCAATGCAGACTTGCGAGCTACTGACTCTCGTTTCCATTGGGTTGAATTGGCACAGTGAGGGGAGTCACCACCCACCAGCAGATACTGTGGTTTTTATGTATATTCCGCGACCCGAGCCAGGGTATCCTTTTGAGATTGGCAACGTTTGTAATTGTGTACCAATGTTTTACTTCGTAGGAACCCTGGGTATACACTGCTATTTACACATATTGCAGCAAAAAACAACACTGCATTGATCAAAAGAGATCAGCATTCAATCAGTCTCATGCTGTGGAGTAAGTTGGCTGAATGACGCCAGGCTCATGCAAGAGCTCGGACCGAATCACAGCCACCAACGGCCATGGACTTAGTGAAAGGATCCGAGCAACCTGAAAGAGCTCCTTTTTTCCTCAACAGTGGCCAGATGGGCCAGATTGTTGGCTCCGTGCTCGACATGTTGATAAGTTTTTGGGGAGTTCCAGATGAGGAGAGGAGTGCCCTTTTGGCAGTATGCACCCTCCACCAAATAATGAACTCAATTGGGTGAGGCGGGGGTTTATAGGTTCTGCGGGGAAAGCTGTGGCAAGCAACATGACGGTCGAAGATTAACAGGCGCCCAAACCCTGATCATAGATGTTGGCAAAGGACTTGCCGCCTAGAGTGCAATCAGCCAAAGGTTTGTGATCGGAGAAGATGCGCACAAGACACAATCACTAACCTGCATAGCCAGGTTTGTGTCTACTCCAGAGAAAACATGTTTTTGGGTTAAGTTTGTTCTTGTGGGCAAAGACGCAGGTTTGGTCATTGCTTTGTTAGGCTCTAGCTGCCCAAGCTTTCGGTTGTAGATTCATCAAGATTTTAGATGGCACTAGTCGCTAGCCGCTAGTATATTTATAAATCCAACCTGAATTGAAGGGTGAACAATATAGGACTGTAATTTGAGGCATCTACAAAGCTCACAAATAATATCCACAAATGTTGTATACAGAGTGGATAGGGATTTTGCTAGGAAAAAAGGTCCTCAATCGCAAGCACCAATCAAGAGAAGAGTGATTTCACAAAGAGCAACTTGTTCACAAAGAATGAAAAAGAAAAAGAGGGAAGCAGTGTCACATAGACGATGGGCGCCGCGCACAGAGTGCATTCACAAAGAGGAACTTGTTCACAAAAGAAAGAAGACTCCGTCGTAACCGCGCTCAGCCAAATGGATGTTCATAAGCTTTTGCTTTTGTGAGGAGCGTTTCTCGCAGTCGTCGGTTAGGTGAGTGTTGGGCTCGGAGGCCCTGTCAGCTTGTTGAACCAACTCCCGTGCATGTTCGTTGTCGTCCAATATTTACGAGGATGTCAAACTCTACGAGAGTCAGGCACCTTGGGTTGTGCAGAAATAGAAGAGCAAGTAGCTTAGGTGTGGTGAATGATTCGGGTTTCATCTCATTACATGACTGTGTAGTTTCACGCGTTTGTTGGCTAAGACTTAAGGGGTATGGATCCAGAACTTCCTTAGTTGGTTGATAATGAATGTTGTCGACAGTTTCAAGATGTTTCTAAGACCTGGCACTGAAATGTATCGAGGAGTCGGCACACTGCTTCGGTCGCCTCTAAGGACTCCAGTCCGTATAGATTTGAGGTAAGACTGGTATCGTAGTCGTAGACCAAGAGTGGCTTCCGATGTGATGGTGCCGTCGGGACGGCACTTCAAGCTGGCCGCCGAACATGGCTTAATCAGATGCAGTGTACGCAGTGCTGGCGCTGGCTCAGAGTAACGCAACTGTGGGACGCCTTGAAAGAAAGGTTCCGATAGGTCGGATCGTTGTTCCGGCGCTCAGTCAGAAACATTGCGTGCATAGTATGGGGTACCCGGGTGCCACAGATTTTGTAAGATCAGTAAATCCATGGTGACATGGATCTCAAAACTGACGATTCCACCTGTGACCCTTGTAATTGTAAGCTTGCGCCGCTGGTTGCTTGCCTTGCCGCTTCAGGCTGCCACTCGCTTACCCACACTAAAGACGCGGAGCGCCTCGCAGCCTGCCGAGCGGAAGGAGCAGGCGGCACGGCGGTCCAAATCCACGGACTTTCTTTTTGACGATCTTTGGACGAATGGAAAGTGGAATTCAGGATTCAGGCTGTCCCAATCTTCATTTCCATCTCATTTCAATCTTCACTGCGAGTGTATGATGAACCCATCGGAGGAAAAGAGTATTCTTCTGACCCGGATGGTCCAGTCTCCTGTATTCTTCCACAGCTGTGCCGCACTGTGCCCTTCACTTCAGGATTGGGTTCAGTGCAATCCAGAGGAGGAACACTCACTAAAGCAACCGCACCGTTTTTAAGACCGAGCACCAGGGCCGCACCCTGTTTGTCCCGTCCAGTGGGGTGTTGCTGGAGGTGCAGAATGATGAAATCTTCAGCATCATGGTCAAGAGGCGACTCCCGGACGGCTGAAGGATCAAGATGAGGGTGGGAGATGCAAGCATTTGTGGTCAGCTTTGCTGCCTTACTGGTGGGGGATGCGCTGGCCGAAAGCCATTTTGTTTCTAGCACCTTGTGGGGGTGAAGTGAGTCAGTGAATGGCATGATGCCACAACACTTGAAGCTTTTGGGGGGGGAGGTGTCATTGGCTGAAAGAACGGGGATGCTGAACGTGTTTCTTGGGCCAAGATCATGAATCACGTGACTATATACTTATACGTAGTGTTATGTAGAGAACCATGTGGCATCACTATTTATGCTGGAACTGTTTGCATGGTTCACACGGTCCGTGTTCGTCCATGCATGAATGCATGATGTGCCCTTATATGCATCAAATTGGAAAGAAGGACGTCTAATCAATCACAGCCTTTGAACATCTTTGAACAATTGTTTGATTGATCATCGAATTCCATATGTTCGTGCCATCCACCCCTCCTCAGCTCCTGCATGGAGCTTTGGCTGTCAGGCAAATGCAGATGCGAAAGGACCTCGCGCAATTGCGGACTCCAGTGGCACTGCCGAGGTTCCGCACGTGGCACTGCCGAGGTGAAACGGAGGTCACCAAACATGTTTGGAGGTTGTCGAGGAATCCTTTGAATCATTGAAGGTGAACTGCTGTATGAATAGTGGAAGCTGGCCTTGCTTTTGGTTATTGGATGTCAGTGGAATCTCTTGTGTTGGAGCCGCTGGTGCATGTCTTCAGCCAAGTTGTGATGCCCTGGAATGTGTTGCGATGTTTGAAACTGTGAGGGTATGGACCGTGACAGCTTGACAATCCTCTCAAAAACACTCTTAGAACAAAAATTGTGCTCCTCAAAGCCTCCAAGACCAGCTGTGTGTGCAGGGGACTTGGGAACATGTTCAATTCTAACACAAACCCGATTAGCAAAACCAGGACAATCTCATTTGAGGATCCAGGATGATCCGTCAATTGTAGGGTAACTCAGATTCGAGTCATCCAGATGTGTTTATTTGTCAACGGTGGAGGTGGTCATTAATTAGGGTCCACTGATCCAGTTTGCAATTTACCAGTGCGCAGAAATACCAGGGGGGTGGTATTAGATGGCATTAGATTCTGCTTTCATCGGATATCTCCTTCGGAAATGGCGCGAACTGCAGCGATGCCTTTGACGGAAAATCGATGGACATGGTCAGGCTAGACGGAAAGCCTCCGCCGAACCACCAGGCCGGGGCGAAGCACAAAGGTCAGATTTGAACCGAGTATATGTCAGACGGTGGGAGTGGGGTCACAATTTCAAACCTGCAAAACCGACCCAACCAGTGGGGAAATGCACGTCCGCAGTGCCGACCCCCAGTGCAGACGCCCACAGAGAACAGTAAGCAATTTTAGATACAGCTTTGTTTGCATGCGTTATTAATGTTTTTGCGGTGTGCGTGTGTGTGTGTGTGCGTTTGAGGGAACCCCAAGCATAAACGCAAAGTGCTCTAAATGTTCAATGGCATTTAAAGGTCGTTTCTTGGGGAGAGTCTGGGGGAGAGAGAAGCGAGAGAGCGAGGAGAGGCAGTATATACATCAAAAGTGGTAGTATAGTTTCAACAATGGATGGCCTTGGACTTGGAGTATCAGAAGCCTGAGGGTCGTTGTGCAGCCCTCACTCGCACAACATGAAATTGGTGCATCGCTGGTTGTCAGAATCCTGCGGTGTTTTTGCTGTTTCTCTTTGGCATTGGCCTCCCAGAAGAATCTATCCATAAGCTGCTAATGGGTAGCGCCGGAAGAAGGGGTCAGCACCCCCCGAGTCGTGGAGCTTCGAAGCGTCATGTGCCCAGGAACAAGCTGCTCAGCTCATCGCCTCAATGGTGCGCTCAGCTCCCGCTGTCGGACTCCCCGGGGCCAGAGATTTGGGTCACGATGGCTTTCACGATGTCAACCCAACCTGTGGTGGCCTTGGCGAAGATGGATGTGGACCCATATTTATTGGTTGCCAGCAGTATAATATATATATATATGTGTAATTTTCTTCCGGACTACGTACTTGACGTGTGTGCATATATACAAACAGATCAAATAGGATCAAATACGATGATTCTCCACCTGGGCAAACATGGAGACAACCAGAGGGTTCAGAAGATGATCATATTACACCATATTCCTTTGAACAAGAGGTGGTCTACCGGGTCTCGCGGTCGAAAGTCGTTTGGGAGAGTGAGTGACGTTGTTTGATGGCCAACTGATTTGGTCCCTTTGGGTTTCCGTACGACAACCTCCATGCCATTCAAAAAGGCGACACATCTTCATGTTTCAGATCACTCGGTTGAGATTCTCCTGTGATGGGCTCGCCACGCTGGTCAGGTTATACCAACTTGTCCAGGAGGTACAGTCATGCACACAATACACCCACTTGGCCTTTCGCGTTATTTATTCCGCACTATGATCAAGCGGTACAGTACATTCTAGTTTTGGAAGGCGATTCAGGTGGATGATATATGCGCACTATGATCAAGCGGTACAGTACATTCTAGTTTTTGAAGGCGATTCAGGTGGATGATATATGCCGTGGTGAAACACCAGATAACACCAGCACCTTTTGAAGTGGCTGTTGCTTTCGCTTGTGATCGAATTTCGTGTAGTAAGTGGCAAGTGCCTGCCCCATCGCTTGTCAGACCAGGAAGCAGTCGGACCAGGAAGCGTGGAATCCGTAGAGATCCTTAGACATGAATCTGAGTGGATTAGCCGAACATATCCCACGAGTTGGGTGGGTCGAAGGACGGAGCGACGAAATATCCCGGCCAAGACGAGACAAACATGAACGGTTTCACTCACCAAGTTGTTGATGGCACGGAATTCTTTGAACCACCCATGCGCACGAAGATCGATGATCCCCAGCATTTCGAGGACGTCGACATGCCTTTTTTGCATCACGGATTCACAAGCCTTTCTGGTGGCCCAAAAGCGGACGTCCAACCGGACGTCCTGTGGTGGTCCTCATGACCGGTCCACTGAAGCAGCGAAGCAGCACGTGATGGGTCGGGATGCTGGGCGAGAAGGGTTTACTTGCGGATTTTGTTTGGTGTATTCTTGTGTGGGGGGGGCGCAAGCTGTGGACAGTGCATGAAATTGCTATCCGTGTGCATGGAGGGTGTGATACGATAGTGGTCGAAGGCTGTGTGGTGTTCTTGCGCTTGAGCTTAGTGCGATCGTTCAACGTCAATTCAATGATGAACCAGCCCGCATTGAGCAGGAGAGAGTGAGGGACCTTAATATCTATATATCCGTCCGTTGGTTCTTGGTGCTTTGGTGCATGTTCCAGGGAAACCGGAGCATGGAGCGTTTCGCTGGATTTTGTTGCAGGTTCAATGGCTGGCCAACTCTGATGACTGCAGCAACTTTGCCCATGCTGGTCTTCTGCATATACCGCCTAAACATTGAGGAGCACATGGCCTGGTTTTGGGCCGACTTCTATGGCCTAGGCGCGCTCCCAGCCCTTTTGGCTGTATAGGTTGCGCTGACTTGTGTTTTGCGCACAACGCCCGCCTTGAGCAGGAACGCACACGCCGTGGGTTAAAGCGTGCTCGTAGCTCTGGGGACGGGATTGTATATAGAACTGGCACCGCTGGAATACGTTTGAATACTGGGACAGTAAATGTGAACGTGATGGATTGATTTTGGGACCCCAATCATGTTGACGAAGATCAATTATTCCAGGGCAATGGGAAATAAGATAGCAGCTAGCACCCTAATGTAAACTGTTCACGAATAACCTTCCTATGATGAGGTGTTCAATTCAAAAGCGTCTACAATGAATAAACACCTTTTGACATCTTTTGACCCTGATGGTTCGCTGTGAGGCTTGGTTGCTCTTGGACTTTTTTGTGGTCTCGGCCCTGCCTTCTTCCCTCGAGTGGACCATCCACTGCATGAGCTGGATCGAGTTCGATGGACTCACAGCTGGATGTGTTTTTTTCGGGCTGAGATCTCGGCAGATCTTTTGTGATCAAGTACACTGAAATGGCACTGAAAGGCTTTCGATTGAACAGGTTAATTTGTTTTTTCTGGGTTTGGCTATGTTCGGCACGTTTGTAAAAAGTGTAATACAGTATCACCCAGAATTGGGCACAGCCCAGCTGCCAGCGAATACCCAAAATTCGCGGTTGACCTGTGGCTGATGAACAACCCAAGTCTGCTCGGACCCAGAACTCATGTTATGCCATCCATTTCCGAGTGTCGTATTTGTCAAAGTGCAGTTGCCAAGGAGTTGCGGAGGCATTTGCCTTATCACCCTGTTCGCTCTTTCTTGGTTCTCCAATGGTGCTCTCTATGCAGCCCGGTCAAGGATGCAACATGTTCAACTCATGTGGGAACGATCTTGCAGGAGGCGGAACATGACAACATGAATCAGAACATCCCAATGATTGATTGATCAGAGTTTCTGAAAGAACGTTTCCCCTGCTGAGGGCACTTCTGGAGTCAGAACAATGTGCTTGAGTCTAAATCATATATCGGGGAACTGGATTTTGGATGATTTTGGACGAGTCTTGGGAAGTCTTGTCATCTCGAGCATGTGGTTTGGCTCAACCAGGTGTTCATGCGGCTGCGTCCTGAAAAGCATTTGAGCCTGGCGCAGTTTGAGTTTGACAAGGGAAAGACTGCAAATGCTGGCTTGGTGATCCTGGAAGGGGCACGGCTGGATCTGAGCCGCGCAGGCGCGAGCGTGTGGTAGCGTGTGCCCGGGAGTCACGGTGCCAATTGAAATGACTTGTGGCATTTTTATCGGAGCAACATCGGGAAGAGAAAGCTGAAGATTTCTGGGATGTGTTTGGGTGCTTGCTTGTTCTGATTTTGCGCTCTTATTCCGGTTTGTATTCTGACGCATGTTGCGACATCAACTCTTGCATGTGTTTTGGCACTTGTTCGTGACCTACTTCCTGGCATGCTACCTGGCATGTGTCCTGACAAGTCTTGCATGCTTTCCATGCAAGACTTGATACCAGAACGCGAAGCAATTTTTGCTGCGGGTCACTAGGAGTTCGCAATTTCAAGGTGGCCAGTGGAGACAGCACATGAAATGCGCCATGACAAGTGCTAGAGCACGCGGACCGGAAGATTTTGCTTGCTAGAGCAATTGGTAGATTACATTGTCAGAACGCATGTCAGACCTATTGCCAGAACAAGTGTCAGAACACATGCCATACTTGATGCCAATAAACGTCAGGCCGTTTGATGGGGCATTTTGTCAGAGCATGTGCCATTCGAGTTTCCTAATCATCTCCCATTCCGCTGGTGATCGCTCGAAGTATAGGGCAATGGAGGCTCACTGGTGCCCACGGTCAGTAGGGAAGATAAAGAAAAGAGGTTGGTTTCAGAAGTTGTAGCTGTACGTTCAGTATCTAGAAGTCCTTCCCATGTTTTGGTCCAGTGGGATCCACGTGTGCCGGCGCAGCGTAGGGCTGAGAAAGGTCATCATGGCAAAATCAGCTGTTCACCCTGCAGCCAGGTGCTGCAGCCAGCTGCGACGGCTGCAGCGCTAGTTGCGCGACAGCAGTTGCGGATGTTTTTTGATGTCCCATGTTGTTTTTTGTTTACCTTTGTGATCCTTCTTTGTGTTGTTTTTCTTCATTCGCAATCATCACTGTTTGGCCGCTTCCCCCACTGCATTTGTGTATAAGTTTTGTTTATTTTTGTACTAACCTGATGCAGCACTGATGCATGTGAATGCTTGGGCCGGTGTTTTTGCACTACCTCACTGCAGGTGAATGTGCCCTGAGAGACTGCCGACGAGAGGCTGGTTTGAGCAATGTCTCCTCAAAGATTCCCCTGCTCCGCATGGATGACCTGGAAGTTGAAAACTCTGAAGTTGGGCGACGTCTAACAGGGGCTGGAGTCGCAGGAGGAGGAGGTGGAGCAATGGGGGGGAGCAGGTGCACCATCACTTGTGTTTATGCGGTGCCATTGAGTCTGTGGCTGCAAGCTGCGTTCATGTAGGTTTGTACTGTATATAACAGTTCAGTTCTAATGCCATGAAGGTAATAAACTCGTTACGGGCTGCCAAGGTTCTATTGTCTGGGATGTATCACAAATTGTTGCCAAACATCATCAAAAAATCCACAGATCGAGTGGTGTGATGATCTGTGTGTTTTCCTAGTGGCAAGTTGTTCCTCCTGTTGGGGGCAAGTGGAGGCATCAGCCTGCAGTGGCAGCCTGCCGTCTCACAAGCATTATTTGGTTGGATCTCATCATTATCTAATTTCACCTGTTTGGATAGGACAATGAAATAGGTTGGTTCCAAACAAAAGGGTCGCTCAAGTTTCATACATATCAATATATATATATATATCTATCAAAACTCGAGAGGTTTTACTCCTCCAGCTGCGCCACCAGGGCCCCCACCCCCACCGCCCCATCACTCGGCTCTCAGGATCGCCGACCTTCCACACTCCAACGTGGACTTCGGGAGGGACACGGCTCCCACCGAGGGCTTTCCCTTGGGCTGGGCGGTGGGAAACTCGTGGGTGCCGCAGACCGTCATAGGCACCACGCACTTTGATTGGTGGGGCGAGGAGCGGAAAGCCTACGCACGACGCTTGAAGCATGACGTTAGATTTGGATGGTGGCGGGCTGCAGAAGGGTTTGAAATGTATTGGTTCTCTTTCGTTTAATCATAGTGATTTTGTGGATTGTTTGTCATTGAAAGACTCATTTGGATACGTAATAGAAACCGTAGTTTTCCATGTCATGTTGAAAGTTGTTTTTGTTTTCAACCATTGGGACTGAGACGGCCAGCCAGTCCGAGGTCATGAGACTGCACAGTTGTCCCACAGAGATCGCGACACACTAGTAACACTAGTATTTTTGGGTCTATCCTAACACCTGTAACCGTGGATGATGATGGTCAATAAAGGCCTTTTTCAAACATAGTGATTGTTTACTGACTGTGACAGGTAATAGGACAGACCCGAAGTTTTTTTTGTGTGTGTGTGGGGTTTTTGTTTGTTTACACATTGTTGTCATCCCTCTTTCAATATATACAGCGGTTCCCTTCAGACCTTCAGCGTCCATTGCAAATTATTCATTGCGTTGCTTGGAAAGTTCAATGGCTCACGTTGGAATTCCAAAACGAAAACAATTATCATGTCCATCAATCAACAAGTTTCTATGTACTTGTGGACAACATAACATGGGTCACAAATTGTTTAAAGAGATCAGCTTTTGCCAGGGGTACCGCTGATTAGCTCTTGCCTATTCTGTCCTATTCTCATCAAACCACATTATCGCCAATAAAAGGCTTTGTAAGGATTCTCATGCAGTTGGTGAGCAACCTGATTTCAAAAGTTGGACATGACATTTTTTGAGAGGACAACCCCCCAGTTAGTGCAGCCCTTCCAGAGTTTGTCCACCTCTAGGTAGAGGTGGGGTCGTTTGGTCCCCGGCCGCCTCAGGGCGAACTGCCATGAACGAAGGCGGTGTTTTGGCCCGTCATTGACACACGACAATGGCACACATGACGCACGACTCCACACCTGTTGAATCACTCAATATATAGAACATGTTCCTCTCGTCCTCGATCACCACTCTTGCTTCGTGGGTGACAAGGCCATGTGGAATCGGAAAACGTGATTCCAAGGAGCCATGGACAACGCCATAGCGCAACAGCTGCCGGAGAGGCTGAAGGCCGTTGGGTTCGGGCGGACGCTTTGTGTGTGCGTGTGTGTCTCCAAATTCCCAAATTTGCCAAAAGTTGGGTCGTTGAAGTTCCTTTGGAATCCTTTGATTCGGGTCCCGCATTCTGAGAGATCAAATGGGTTCAGCTTCCACCTATCTTTGCCGATGTCGAAACAACGCCGGTCAATGGTGGTGTTTGTTTCGCCTGTTGAGTCTGTTGAGGGTGGAAGGTGGCCTTTCAGGCAGAATTCTTTCCAGGGTTCTCAGTACGTTGTGCATTTTCCAACCCCCTGAAGAATTGAATAAATAATAATTCACTTCTCCTGGGCTTGTGTGTGTAGTCCCGCCATTGAACAATTCTTTGGAGCAGTGACTTTGATGAGTTTATTAATTATTTGTTTTTGAAAACAGCTTTCCGGTCAGAGTTCCACAACACCTCAGAAGAGGGCAAGCAAGGATGTGAAAGGAAAGAACATAAACAGATTTGTTTAACAAATAAATGCATGCTGAGCGAAACACTCTTTATCATTCCGACCCACAAACTACTCAAGGTGTGGAATAATTTCGTGAGTTCACAATTTGGGATTGGACATTGCCCATCCTGGGAGGTTACTCTTCTCCGGGATCAACCTGTTCCCCACCTGATTGAAGACACCCGAAACCGCTGCCAGGCCTGCGATGGACAACAAGCTGTACCAGACTCCCAGCATTGGTGGAGTTCGTGCCACAGCCACTTGGAACTGCTTGACTGCTAATCGCACAGATCACGAAAGGGGTTGGGTATAGTATGGCCTCAGCCACCCCCTATGTTTCATAGCTATAATCATGGTTCAGAGAAAGACCAAGGTTGTTTTCTTCAAATCAAGGCAGGACCAAATTGGAAGACCATGAAATTAATTGCTTTCCTTTTCCGGGTTGTTCACCAAAGCTTCCATGATTCCCCTCATTGAAAGCCTATTTTGCCATTGGGGTCCACCGAAGAAACGCGATCACCAAGCCAAAGAAATGCAATCCCTGAGGTTACCGGGACAAGTGATTGAGCAAGCAAACAGTACGATTACCCAGCCACTGAAAAAGGAAGTTGTTTTTGTGAAACAAAGCGAAGAAACGCGATGAAGTGAAGAAACGTGATCGTCAAGAAACATGCGAACGGCCACCTGTCTGTGCAGAATACAGATGGAAAATATACTGCTGATGTAGACACAGTTTCTTGTAGCTCTGTAGTTTCATATTTTTTGCACAAAAACCTCCGGGAATTTATTAATTATTGGCATCAGTCACGAAGAAACGCGATCGTGCTCCGATCTAGTCAATCTATATATAGTCTCAAAATTCCTCTTCACCTGTTTTGGCAACCAAAAATTCAGTAAACATGAAAGCAACCTAGAAAAGAGGAATCATGAAGTCTTCTAGGTTGTTCCTGCGACAATAGGACCTGGAGTAGCCAAGAAACTACTTCCCAGAAACAAATGCGTGATCCCAAAGAATCTTGCGCGTTCACCCTTTGACACATGCGCCGTACTAGAGGGTTCTATAAATATAAATAACTCATATCATATGCACATGCTGCAGAGTTTAATATATGTTCCTGTCCTCTTATTTGGTTCTGTTTGCTTGGTTCACACTTGTTGGTGGTGCAAGGAGTTCTTAAATCTGTCCGATTTACCACGTCCGCAAGTCGGTCTGAGACGGGGAACGACGACAACGGCTTACAAGACAAGTGATGGCTCCCAGGTCCGTAATGTAAGTGCGATCGATTTGACAGCTAACCTGCCATGGCCTGCCCTGGCCTGTGCAAGCCAGAATGCCACTCCTGAAATTCATTGACATGTCAACTCAGATTGGAACTCCAGATGTCAACTCAGGTCCATCACTGACGCTGATGGGCCCTTTAATATGTAGTCAATTTGCGTGTTTTTTTTGTTTATGCGTGTGTGGCAACGCATTGCTCAGCCAACGGATAGGCAACCCATTGCTGCATGTGAGGTCCGGTACGTCAAGGCAATGCCGGATTTGTGTGGTCAGTGATTCAGACAGTGTCATGTTTGTTGATCTCTGCTGAGTTAAGCCAGTGTCCAAGGTATGGGCTTCACTGCTTGCAGGGAAACCAACCTGGCTGGAAAGCATCGTGGCAACAAGTCCCTTCATGTAGCCAAAAGGATTTCAGCCATGATCCAGATGATCTAAGATCTAAGTCTGAATTTGCTGAAGATTGTTATCATTCCTCCCTGGTGCTCATTGGCAGGTTTACTTTCTATACGTAAGAGCACTTGACCAGACAACAAGTGGACACGAGTCTTTCGCCACCCGGTTTCACTGGTTCACTCGCCCGTTTCGGTGGTGAACAGCACCGGTTTCGGCCACGCTGTCGTTTCCAAGGTGCTGCTGCCCGACAGGTCAACGAGTGGGAGACTCTTGGCCCAAGCCGCGTTTCCTTTGTAGGTTCCGGACCGCATGTGACAGCACTTGGCGGCACAGTTGTTTTTTCCCTCAGGGGCAGGGGCAAGCACAACGGCCTGCCGCCGTTTGCTGCATGATTGGTTTCAATTAGCTCATTGGTTTATGCAAACAATAGCCCTACCAAGCGTCGGAGAAGTCGGTTAGGCTGAAACACGTGCGACAACGGGGAACATGGTCCACAACGTACCCGGCCAGAATTGGGAGCAGAGTGAGTGTTCACACGTTGTTGGGGGTTTGTTTGAGCATGATTATATATGTCATATGATTCGCTGGTTGATTGGGCCCAGCTGGGCCCAACACGAAACTGAGGAGGACGGTTGCAAGAGCTGCGGGGTTCTCGAAGAGAGGTTGTCTGCCTTGCACCAGCTAAACCTGCTGCGCCTCGTCGGCACGCCGTAGAGCAGAGCAAGTTCGCAATCAACATTGCAGTGGCCAACGCGCGTTGGGTTGCTCCCAGGTACACGTTAGATGATCCAGACGCTGGACAGTACTTTTTCTACTGGATGCTGTTTGGTTCCCTTGCTCCTGGGACGCTCAAACATCCAGCCGTTGCCGTGCGTTTCGTGCTTAAACTCCGTCCGCTTTGGCCGCGCTTGCGGTGCCCCAAATCACCGAAGAGACCTTTTTCCTGGGCCCAGGAGCCCTTGGAATCGGTCCTCTCCCTGCTGTTTCTGAGAGGCAAATCGTTTGGGGCAGGTTGTGGAAATCCAGCCAGGGCATCACTCCTTGAGCTTCTTTTGAGTTTATGAGAATGCGGGGGGGGGACCTCATGTTAGGCAAGCTGATCCTCACTTACCGGCTTATCGCAGTGGTTTTTTTAATCCTATGAGTCATGAATTTCATATGTTCAGCTCATTCTGCTTGCAACCCCGCACCAGCTCAGCGGCAACCAACGACATGTCGACTAGACAGCCGCCAGGTTTTGCTACCGCTCCCCTGGGCTCTCCTAGCACAAGTGCTATGGCAATTCGCCGAGCCCAATGAGAGCTTTCTGCAGCACGAAGCTCGGGAGGAGCGGAAACACATTGCGGAGATGCTCGGCGCCGGATGTGGTTTTTGGATGCGGCCCCGAAGGCGCACAGGTCCTTCAAGTCTTATTCAAGTGCAGGACCTGCGGTTGGCAAACAGTACCAAGCGAGGCCAAGTCCAAAGGCTCATGGCGTCGGCTTGGTCTAGAGTCTAAAGGCTGCAGCATGGAAGATAAACGATCGAGTCTGTTAGGTTTGTGTTGGAGTTTTGGATGATTTGGATGCCGAGAGCTGGGCGGGGTGCATGCAGAAGAGCAGGCAGGGCAGGCGAAACAGTTCCAATCACTTTCTCACCTTGGCTTTGACGGGTTGCAGGCTCTCGTGGTTGGTGTGCGGGTTGTCGACCTGCCAAGGACCTGGATTGGCACTGAGAATCTACATGGCCCTTCAACCATCCATGTGGCGAACATGGCGGGAGAATCCCGAGCCATGGCCAACTTTAGGCGCCATGAAGCAATCAGGGAGTTGCAACAGGTCTTTTGAGAACGATTTTTGATTTTTGCAAACCGTCATACGTTTGCTCTAATAGGTTTTGAATGGCCCTCCCTGACACACTGTTTGGGTGTAGAGATGTCTATAGAGTCTAGAAGAAATGTGTTCAGAGGGTTCCTTTGGTCCATTTGTTAATTGTCCGACTGCTCAGGAGCTATCCCAGGATTCAGGGAGACATCGCTGCTGGTCCACTTGCGTAGATCTGTTGCAGAAGTATTCAGCTGCTTGTTTGCAAAGAGAGAAAGACGCGCGATTGGTAAGGGGAAAGCAAAAAGGGCGGGATGTGCTCAAGCCAAGTATTCATGCAGGGTCGTAGTTTTGTTTTGTGATGTCCGCAGTTGGCACTGATAATATAGTCTTTCTGGTGAAGCCTCTTCAAGACAAAGAAAACAATCTTAAGATTTCACATGTCTTTATTGAAACACGTCACTCTTCCCATTTCAGCACCGCCTTTGAGTCGACCCGAGGCGTGGAGTTCCCCGAAATCGGCTTGGCCTTTGGTGGACAGCTCCTTTCGCCCGACTTGGACTTTAAGACCCTGGGCGCCTTGGGCCCAACGGTGGTTTCCCTGTCTCGGTGAACCGTCCAACGAACGCACCGGAGACCTAGCCTGGTGACCTGTTGGCCATTCCAAAACCAATCGGAGAAACACCAACAAAAATCATGTGGCAAAGTCATCGAATGCGATTGCGAGTCGGGACCGGCAGATATGTTACAGGTGGATTGTAGACGGTGTTGTAGACACCGGTGGTAAGACGCAGAGTTGAGAATGTCGGAGCGAGTCAGTTGAGAATGTGCACAAGCAGGCACGTGTACAGTGCACATGTTTTGTACCTCTCCATTGATTGCCCAGGGGATACTTGGGTTGGGTTTGAGGCTGTTTGAGTGGTCCAAACACCTTCCGAGGAAGCACTTGGAGATCTCTAGGGATGGTTCCATAGGCTTCATTGACCTCTTGATGGGAGGTTTCAGCTTTCATGCCTAGGCGATTTGGGTATCTATGATGGGTGCACGGTGTCCTTCATCCAGATGGGTGCACAGGCAGAGCAGCTGGGGTGTTGCAGTCAGATCAGATGCTATATTATCATCAGTAAAAATGAGCAGTTCTTCCACCAACATAGCGTGCAAACAGTAGTTTTGACAAGAATCAACAGCTACAACTATGTTCCCGTTGATAGTTCTGTGTCCATGTATGCAGTTGGCGTGAAACAGACAGACATGTGTGAGGTGTGAGTCCTTTAACTGGCTGTTCATCGTTGGCCCTATATCTTCAATGAGTGTTTTGGGGTGAGTTTACTCACTCAGCAGAGCACACTTAGTAGGAGAGCTCAACTTCATGCATCAACCACAGCAGTTGCAACCCTCAAATGACCGTGCTACGGACTGGTGCTTGAGAATGGATCCAAGGGAATCTACATTGGGGCTCATTCCCGCATTCGTTACAAAGCACCAGTCAGGCTAGTGTGCTGAGCGTGCTGCCTTTTCTTGAGACAATGGAGGTCTAACGGTCTAACACTCGTCCTCCGAACAATACAGCGATGAGAACCCAGCGTCCGGCTCAGGCAGAGGTGACTCCACGAAATGAAAAATTGGCGGGCCGCTCTGAGGGAAATTTCTTCACTTATTTCAACCGCAGCAGCAACGTGCCGTGGCGATTGGAGTATGCTGAATGCTCAGGGCCGCACAGCAGAATTTCACAACCTTTTGTGCATAGCCTCTCAGTCAGTTTTATTCAGTGATGCGAGGCGTGACAGTTTGGAGAGTAAACTGCCGGAACTTGTGGAAGGGTGCAAAGTTGATGTTGCTTCGCGTATCAACTTGTTTTGGCGTGCAAACAGGAATTGGTGGGGTGGGGTGGGGGCAATTTGGGGGCTGACAACATTTGTGGGGATTGCGAGCAAGATATTGCTTCGTGGAACGCTTCTGTGTGTTGAAACTAGCTTCATGTACGTTGGTTGGGGGAGTATTGACGTTCCTTGGGGCAAAGAAACGGATCATGCTGCTTCATGTGTGACAATTCCTCGGCATGTCCGGAGAACGTGACACTCCGGGGCCTTGAAATCCGCGGAATATGCAAGCACCGTGGGGATAAAGATAGAGAGAGGGTGTTGGTAGGGATATATAATTTGCCTCTCAGCTGCTTCAAAATGAAGACATTGAAACCAATAGGCATCTACAGGAAAGTAGTTGGAATCAAAGGAATTTAGAAGGGAACTAATCGGAGCGAAGAGAAATTGAAAAGACATTTAACAATTTCATTGATACAGGGAATTCAACAGAGAAATAGAAAACAGCTAGCATAAACTTTATTGCATGGGGACATAAATTTAATAACAACAAAGTCATACCATAACCATATTTGAGAGGGTAATACTATTTGAACATGGAAAAGTGTCAGCATAAATCCGGGGTGCTATTATTAAAGAGCCAAAAACGGCATACATTATTGTAGGGGTTGTACCATGTGTTTTTTTTTTCCGTGCACTGGGCTACCCCCTTTGTGGAATAGATGTTTGCAAACAGTAGAAAAGATTCAAGAAAGGCTCTACAGAGAATAACTATATAAAGACCTTAAAGAGACCAATAGGAACCAACAGGAATTTATATAACAGGACTTGAAAGGAAGTTTGAAAGGGACTCGAAAGGCATCAAATGGAGTTTAAAAGGAAAGCAAATAGAATCACAGTCTGTTTAAAAGGAAAGCAACTGGAATCAAAAGGAGTTTAAACGGATATCTAGGGTCTGTCCTATTACCTGTAACAGTCAGTAAACAATTCTGAACAAGGCCGTTACTAACCATCATCATCCACTGTTACAGGTATTAGGATAGACACAACGGATATCATTAGAGATTTAAAAGAACATCACTTGGAATCAAACAAAATTTAAGAGGACACCTTGAAATCAAAAAGGTTTTTAATAACAGGGAATCGACAAAAACCAAAAAAATCAAAAGGAATTAAACAGAAAGGAATCAAAACAATTTACAGAAAGGAATCAAACAAATTTAACAGGAAATAAGTTGATTTCACAACGCTTCTTTTAGGGGATCAACAAGAAGCAAAAGGAATGCAATAAGTAACGTAAAAGGACATGCTACACAAATATTGAGATTTATAGTGCAGACTTCCAAGACTTAGGCTTGAGGTCAGATCCCAAAACTGAGTCTATGCAGTGCAAGTCTGTGCGTTTACAGCCTGACATTCTGCAGCGGAGGTAGCTGCACTGGTAGCGTAGCGGGCTATCAAAAGGAGGTGGTGGTAGCGAACACGATGCGAGCCCACCCAACCAAGGATCGCAATGATCCGGAGCACCTTTTCTCAAGTGCCGTCGAAAGGCCTCCTAGGCCTGTGTAGCCACCATGGCCGAGTTCCGACCAACCATCCGTGGATCAAAAGGGGGCCTCCTGGTTTGGGCCATACACAAATGGAGAAAACATGGTGGCACCTGAAACATGTCCCAAAGCTGCACCAGGACAAAAGGAAGTCAGGTGATCACCATGTGCCTCACTCAGAAGCTCGTGACCAGGTAGGTCTCTGGCAATGATGGCAAGCTCCATGAACTTGCCCTGCATGGATTCCCAGAAGTCGTGGTGTCTTTCATCACCAAGCGAGTCATCCATGTGGGCCACTGCGGACTTGCCAGCTTTCTTGTTCTTCTTGGCGGCCACGAAGTTGTGGTCAAATGCCACTGACCATCGCCAAATGGTCATGAACTTTTCCAAGCTGACACGACTGTCCGGCCGCTTCTTTGTTAGGCCGTCGGCCAAGTCGTAATCAGATGCCACCCATCTGAGCTCACAGCCAACACGGTCCAAGTTGTCTCTCAATTGAAATGCCTGTAGGGCGGACCGAAAGTTGGACAACCCCAACAGCGGGGATTCGTTGACCTCTATTGCGTCGAACCCTCCTCTCGAATCCGTACACAGGATTCCACGCACCTCCAACACTTGCTTCTCCACAGCCTGCACCAAACCAGTGCGGTCAAGTTGAGGTCGTCGACCGCCGGTGTGTAGGTCTGTCCAAAGCACTCTCACCCGAAAGTTCTGGTCCTCGGCCTCTAAGATGCTCTGGACTTCAGCGTCGTTTGATCCGATGCTTTTCCGTCTCAACTTCCAGCTCCTCCAACTCAACAAGCACATAGGAGTGACCTGGCCAGAAAGACAAGCAGGACCTGCGGCCATCGTCAGCATCCCTCCTGTGCTGTCACCCCTTGGCCTGTTTGCGTGTGCTTGGTCGCCCATGGAGATGAAGACGATGTCATTCCATTTCTTGGCACCGTCCAAGGGGAAGAAGCGCAAGTGAGATGGTTGTCGCCGGACTTCACCAACCATAGCTTGGATCTCTCTTGCTTCAGACAAGGTGCCATTCACCGTGACTTCAGTGAGGAGGATATTGCAGCGAGAGCAAAAGAGTGGTTGGGTCTGTATGGCGAGCCATTGAAGACCTCCAAGCGTTGTGCGACAGGCAGCCACTTCTCGAGGAGTGAGCTTTCCTTCCTGCCGAAGTCTTTCAGCAGGAATGTCCAGGTCTGGCAAGGCCTCCACATATGCATCTTGATGCACGGTCACCATGAACTTGCCGTCCTTATCGGGCTTGGTGCGAACATCAGTGCCTGCATGCCTATAGTCACGACGGCGAGCAGTGCCCCACTTGTAGGCAGCATCAATGCGAGTGCATATCTCTCGCCACTCCTGGGAGGTGTTGTCACCGATGCGGTTGAAGTCGTCGACGTGTCCTCCCATGCATCCCAACAACTTGGGATATCTGCCAGTGACATCCGTCTCGGTGGTCGAAAACCATGCCCACATTGAGCGCTCTCCAAGAACAGCTTGACCACCTAGCTTGACCAGGGTGCGATGAAGGTCCAGCCAAAGACCACGCGGAGCGGTGGTAGTGCCGTAAATGTTTCGAAGAACTTTGAGGATGCCTTCTTGGCCCACTCCCAGAGCCTCACGAAGCTCAGCCACACCTGTAGTCCAGAGATTGGCATCCGCTTCTGTGGGTTGAGTTTGCAGGAACGCTGTGGCCAAATCTAGGCCTTCCAATTCCCATTGATGATGGCTGGCAAGCAGGTAGATGATGTTGCGGCCAATCATGGAAGTAACAGGAGCCGATGTCTTGAAGGAGCGATCGAGGAGGCTGGGATGTTGGAAGCCCAGCAAAACGATCCTGGCCTTGGCCTTTCGCTTGGCATCTGGCGTCACGGTCGTGTAGGGGTTGTTGGCCAAGTCATCCAAGGCTTCTTGACGTTCCTCCTCCGGGATGGCTTTCCATACAAGGATCCATCTGGCCTTCAGGATGCGGTTGCTGTCATAGGCCTGCTTGATCTCCTCCGAGGAGAGAGATTTCCTCACTGCCTCATTCTTGATGAAACTGGAGACTTCTTTGTTCTTGGCGTGAGTGAAGAGTCGTTGCAAGGCCGGAGTCAACTTGGATATGTTGACCTCAGAGGAGTTCATCTTCTTGATCATGTAGGCCACAGGGTTTCTCTCAAGGAACTTGCGTTGACGATGTGACGTGGCCTCCACCTCAAAGGTGACAGTCAGGATGTCCTCATTCTCCTTTATGAGTTGGTTCAAGCTGAAGGCTTGCTCTTCAAGAGCTGCATCGACTTGCAGCTTTTCCACCCATGAGAGATGTAGTAGATCATCTTCTTCACCACGAGCTCTTTTGGATGCCGGTTCTTGAGCAGTGTCTGGCTCGGTGGGTTCATATTCGTTGACCGACACCTCATCATCTCCAAGTCCAGGAGGATGCTGATCATCTCCTGCGCCAAGTCCAGACGCTGCAGGTCCAGGAAGTCCAGAGTCAAGACCTGCTGAAGAGCTGGGCCTCGAGTCCAAAGGCCGATCAAATCCAAGAGGTACGATGCTCTTCTTTTCAAGTCCAAGCGGAGATGATCGATGAACCACTCGATAATCTTCAGGTGCCAGTGTTGACTTGGTGGTCTGACGTTTGATAGGAGCATATGTGGTGGAATCAGGATGCCAAGGAAGATTGGGATGTTCCGGCTCGTTTTCAGCAGGAATCTCATCAGTGAGGTCCTGGTATTCTTTCTTTGGCATGATGTCGGCCAGAGTCTTCCATTGGCTGATGTCTTCCTTGGATGTCACCTCCCAGCGAAGGCGTTCAGGTTCAGTGACTGGACGAACGCTCAGAGCAGAGCAGCGGGAGAGTTTGCCCTGCATGAGAACCCAAACCACATGCCTTCGGTGATCTTTAGGATCTTGATGTGGCAGTGCCTCAGGGAAGATGACCCGACCAGGACCGATCCATCCAGGTCTTTGACTTTTTCTCCTTCCCCCACGTGGTCCTTCAAGTTCAGGATGAGCTCGTCGCCAGATCTTTACCAGATCGGTGCACTTGTAGTCTCTGAGAGGTTGCCGTGCCTTGGAATTTGAGAGCCTCATCAAGATGCGTCCAGCTCGATGTTTGCGAGCGACTTGCTCAGCCTGATGTCGGGCTGACACCAGTTTGGAGTATGACAATTTGTCCTTGATCTGGTTGAAGGTCATGTAGTCTTCATCCAACAGGCTATGGTCCTTGCCGAAGGCCCATTGATGTGAAGTGTAGCCGGAGACATATTCAGTGGAGTTCAGGGCAGACGCAGCCAGCACCAAAGTGACCATTGGGTCCTGATCCATGGCCTCCAGCTGGATTGCAGATGCTGTGTGTTTCAGATCCTTGATGGCATGCTCAACCACGCCATGA